CCTGTGCCTGCCTGCGTCATCCCCCAGCCCCGACTGCACTGCGTGCTTTGAAAGTAGGTCTGCTGCCGGAGAGGCGCTGCTCTGCGTGAATTACGACAGCCCGCTCCCCGAGCCGCTCCCGTTCACAGCAGGAGTGGTCCCTGCTTCAGAAACCTGCACATTTAAGCTAAATTGGCTGAGTTTCTTCAAAACCTCAGCTGTCGGTTTTGGAGGGAGCCCTGCTCGCCGGCACCCAGGCGCTTTCCGGGCCTGCCCTGAGCCCAGGCTCCCCTTATCTCCAGTCAGAGCCTTCCTTCACACTTCATAAAACGCTGCCCCGGCTTGCAGAGCACAACAGCGATGATTAGCGAACGCATGGCAAAGCGAGAATGTAATTTGTCGTAACCTCACACGCTATTTGTTAACTCGTTAGGAAAAGAGTTCCTTAATTAACCGGTGGCCTGCAGGAAGGTATTTACTGGTGTGCGTACGCCAGCGTGACTTCCCCGGTGGAAACTCTTGTTCGGCGGAGCTGTCCGGAGGCGCGCTGGAGGGACGGGGCGAGAGCTGTGCCGCTTTCTGGTAGCGTCTCCCTGCCGACGCAGCCTCTTCGCTGACCGCAGGCCCCCGCGGAGGCGGGGAGCGGTGTTTCTCTGGGGTTTGGTGCCACCAGAATAATTGTATTTTATCTACGGGGTGTGCAATTTCAGCACTTCCTTTTGTACACGGGCTCGGATTCTCTTTCAGAAGAAAAAAAGGGAGGAAGTTGTGCTTTTCTCTTCCCTGCTGGCTGCTCCTCCGCGCCCTCAGCTCCCCGCCTGCAGTGTTCACGTTGTGAATGTCGTCGGGCGAGAGGGACCCTGGGGGGGGCCGGGTCCCGTCCCCCCCCGCGCCGCCGCCGGCTGCGCCCGCTGCGAGGGGGGATGTCAGACCCAACCGCTTCTGTTGCGCGCCCCGCCGCTCGCCCGCTGCGAAGAGAAACCCGCCGCTAACCAGGGCAGCGGGGAGAGGGCGTCATGTGCGCGGCGGCTGCCGCCTCTCTGTGTCTTGTCCCTGGAGCCACCCGATGAAACGGGTGGGTTTTTTTTGGGGGGCGGCTGCTTTTTTTGGTGGGGAGGAAAAGGGCTTTTGGAAAGGGGGTTCGGATCCTCCTGCGGGGGCCGAGCTCTGCGGTGGGGTGGAGGGCGGGTGGCTGCCATGGCGTGGGGATTGTGGCTCTGAACTGGGGGCAGGCGTGGGGCCCCCGTGGCAAACGGGGCGTGAGGGAGACGCTGGTCCTGCTGCTTGCTGGCCTCGCCGCTCCCTCACCCATCCCGTTTGTCCCCGTTGGCTTTTTGTCCTGGCTCTGTCCCCTCGGGGAGGGCGCGTGTCGGCGCCGCTCCCGTAAACAGGGGGCCCGCTTGGCGAGGTTTGGCCGTGGCGAGGTGCCTGGGGCACTCCTGAGAACAGCTCCCGTCCCTGCCAACGCTGTACCGGCCCAAATCCGCCCCGGCGCTCTCCGCATGGGAGAGCTCATCCCTCCCCTGGCTCCGACGGGTGCGTGGCTGCCTCCGAGCTGGCTGCAGCGGGAGCCGGCAGCACCCAAGCTGCAGTGTCCGAGCCGGGGGCCCATCCTCTGCGGCGCCTTGCCCAAATCTGAGG